TGACAGGTATACATGTTGTACATGGTGGCTGGCTAAAATGACAGGTATGCATGGTGGCTGGCTAAAATGACAGGTATACATGGTGGCTGGCTAATATGACAGGTATACATGGTGGCTGGCTAAAATGACAGGTATACATGGTGGCTGGCTAAAATGACAGGTATACATGGTGGCTGGCTAAAATGACAGGTATACATGGTGGCTGGCTAAAATGACAGGTATACATGGTGGCTGGCTAAAATGACAGGTATACATGGTGCTGGCTAAAAGCCTGATGGGTAACATTTTAGGAAGTAAAAATATTCACATGTAAACACTAATTTGCAATTTTTTAGGATAAGTCCATGTGATATTGCCCACTTATTACTGTGGATGACAGTTATTACACAGATTACTTACCTTATTGGCACAGTTATCACAGGCTGTACTGACAATACCACTACACAAATCATAGCTAATAACCTTCTCACCAAGATATTCTAATAATTGAGATCGTCTACAGTCAGTTTCATTTTCACAGTATTGTACCATGCGTTGTAGATTCTCTATATGGACACGTATTGCTTCAAAGTTATCGTTTTCACCTGCAGACAAAACACATGTATTTCTAAATCATATAACACTAATCTTACCATGAGTAAACTACATCAACGAACCCCTGGAAAGTCAAATAAGATCAGTGTTAAAAGATTTACTATTGTGTAGTCGACAGTCACATCAAGGATTGTTAACTAATCTAGGTCTAAACACTCAGAGACCAAGGTATATCCACAGTCTCTCAGTCACCTCAGCTGTTGAGGGACTGTGGTATATTATACGGTTATTAAATCAACTGTCAACAAACTGACTTTTGTTTTCCATGTACTGTAAAATAGTTTAACTGGAATTAATTTTCACTGAAAATATTTTTTGGGTGTTTTGTATGAATGATTTGAGTATAAAATATGGGAAAACAGGTATGCATGGATTTTATTTTCCCTAAATCATACTTTACATGATTTGACTTACGTTCCATGACTTTCCTGAGTCGTGTCATATCTTGATAAGAATAGAAGAGAATACAATGTGCAATATTTCCATCTCTACCAGCTCTACCGGATTCTTGATAAAATCCTTCAATTGATTTTGGTAATGAATGATGAATTACAAATCGTACATCAGGTTTATCAATACCCATACCAAATGCAATTGTTGCACACACCACCTACAAATACAAATAAATTGCTAGCAGTGGAGACATCTTTCATATCTATATAGTAATTAATATACCGGTATAATTTATATACTAATTCTTTAAAAATCGTATTTCCCATAATGATATGATGTTATCATGAGAATACCACTAAGTATGCACTATAAAGGCAGTGTGGCAATCGCATCAACTGGCACGTAGTAGAGAATGACACGACTCTGTTCCGCCTGATTGCACACTTTTTGGTATTCTTGTGAAAAACTTATTATTAAATATTTTTCTGATGGTAGTAATGTACTAGTTCAATTAGCGAGTACAGCCCAAAATAGCAACAAAAAACATTTTGCACTGTGTGAATATTTGTGGTAAAAATTGGTTTACATTTTCATTGCACTTCTGTATGTAATGTAAACAAAGAAGCAATCGAATGAGACGTAAATAACCTTGAATACATCAATGTTGTTGACGTAGTTTACCCCATATACATGTAAGAGACAATTCTAGTAAATTCAGTAAATTCTTGTTTTCGCTGCTAGCTGTATAATAAATGACTTACATATATATGTACATCCACACACACATACAGACAAAAAAATAATAATGAGGGCAAAAAATAATGAATTTATAAGTTTATTGTTTTGTTTTAATTTATAATTAAGAAAATAAACATGCATACATTTTGTATAATTAAAATGAACATGAATGAGGGATGGGACATATTGAATTTGAAGTTAAACAACCGACAGTACAGGTTTGATACTTTGAAATTACTGATAAGCAGGATGTAAAATGCTACATTATTTAACAAGTTTAGAGTTACTTAGAGTAATGTATATGCAGTAATTGTGTAAATCAAGTGAAATGTTTGGAAATACATATTGCGCTATTTTGTCACGGTCATGAACAAAGATAACAAGATAATTAGAATTCAAAACTTTTATAGATATATGCCCACTTACAATGTTGTATAAAGTTATATTATACCCACCTTGTATTCATCTCTAACCCACGCTTGTTGTGTATATGTTCTACTATTACTCTCCAATCCAGCATGATAAGCCTTGGCACTTATACCAGCACTTGACAACTCTGCAGCTACCTTCTCACATTCATTACGAGATAAACAATAAATGATTCCAGATTCACCGGCAAATCTGGCTTGGATTAGATTAATGCAGTCCTGGGTAACTTTGCTGGGTTTCTTGGGATATATTGAGTACTTGAGATTACTCCTGTTAAAACTCTGGATAAACCTGCAAAAATCGTCCCAGATGCATGTATGTTTGGTACGGTGTGGTACATTGTATGAACTATAATCTGCACATTCGTTCAGTAGAAATATTTATGAGTTATGTTTCGGGTGAATCTATCATACTGATTATCTAGCTCAATCACTGACTCCAAGATAAATACAAAAACAATTCAAGATGTGTAAAACTGTAATGAAACTATTACATAGAAAAAAAACTTTACTGAAATAAACATGAATCTTCTGTTAGACACTCATGTACATGTATTTTTTTAAAACATTTATTAAATAAAAATCCTTCCAGGGAAATCACCATAATTTATAGACCTTTAATTACAGTGGTATGCTACTAAATAGAAAATACGCAAAATTCTTTATAATCTGCACAGGTTATATCAAATACCAGACAAAATGGAATAAAGAAGATGTAGTTGGGCTTGTTTCCACAAAAATTACAATTTTCTGATTTCTCTATAACATTATTCCTATTCAGGAAAATGGGACCTACAGTAAACATATCTTACCGGGTAATACAAACATTAGTGTTATGAAATATACAATTCAACCTGGGACAACTATGACATATGATAATACTCACCAAATAGGACTACGTATTTTGAGTTGCTTCACAATATCAGCACGAACTCTTGGTGTGGCTGTAGCAGTCAATGCCATGATAGGTACAGTTGGAAATAATTCTCTCAATTTATTCAAACGTTTATAATCTGGTCTGAAGTCATGGCCCCACTTTAAATATGTAAGTAGAAAACAGTGATTTGTTACAAGACAATACGCAGGATTTGATAATCATGTGTAACACAAGATCCTGCGTTGTATTCCCTGGAGAGCATGTTTCTTCCGCTTCCTGTCACATGAGCCACAGACTGAGTGAGCTGTCAATGATTGCTCTCATTTTACACCAATGGTTCGACTGTGTTTTCTAACCCATATATACTGACATATATATGCTCATGGTTTCAACAAGTAACCTAAGACTAATTTTATTAAAATAAAAGCTGTATTTTTCATTGTTTGAGACATCAGTAAGTAATAAATTTAAGCTTATAAAATACTATATTTTTATTTGGATGAAAACACCAGACAATAGATATTACCCTACAAATTGGTTTCTCACTCTTAATAAGTTTATACATATACAAAATTGAGTATCTGAAGAATACAGTGTCAATAGAGCAGCATCAGGTTGATCCACTATTCTAAGATTATCTTCCATTACACAGAGATATAAGCTTACCTGACTAACACAGTGGGCTTCATCAATTACAAATCTAGACAACATGCCACGACTATAAAGATTCTCCAATGTTGACACTAATTTACTACTTGAGCTAATCTGTAAATAAAATAGATTGTATTGTGTACTTGTCATACTAGTGAAATATGTGAATTCAACGAAAAAAACTTGTCAGGGTAGCCCATGACCTCTTTGGTCAATAAAATTGTATGTTCACCGTTGTTAGGGTAAACATTTGGTCATTGGATTAATATACTGAAAATGTGGCACTCAATCATATCGGAAATCCACTAAGAACCTAGTAGAGCTGACTAAATTCATAAATCTATAAATTTAATATTGCCCTCATGGCCAGTAGATATGTGTTCAATAATACCTCATGGCTAGTTGAAATGCATTTAATATTCCCCTTCTGGCTAGAAGTTATGTGTTCAATATTGGCCTCAAAACTAGTCGATATGCATTCAATCATGCTCTAAAGATTAGTAGACTGCATTTAATATTGCCCTCATGACTAGTCGATTTGTGTTAAATATTGCGATCATGGCTGGTTGATACATGTTTAATAATACCTCATGGGTAGTCGATATGCATTCAATATTCCCCTTGTGGCTAGACAATATGGATTCAATATTTCCCTGACTTGTCGATATGCACTCAATATTTCTCTTGTGGCTAAACGATATGTGTTTAATATTGCTCTAATGACTAGTCGATATGTGTTAAATATTGCCCTCATGGCTGGTAATACGTGTTCAATAATACCTTATGGCATTCAATATTCCCCTTGTGACTAGACGATATGTGTTCAGTATTGCCCTTCATATTTTTTCAATGCATATTTCTGATTACCTTTTCTGGCGTTACATATAGTAATTTTAATTGTGGATCTCTTCGTGATAATTCTCTATAGATCAATTCCACTTCATTTGGAGAAGCATCACCAGATAAATGGGCTGATGGCACCTACAATACAAACAACACTAAAGATAAAAACTTGTAAAACAAAATGTAATATTTGTAATCAGACGCTGTGAGCTAACAAAGCAACCTAGCCCTTCTATTTCACCCTCATTTGTTATTTACTTACATCACGCAGACATAATTTCTGTACTTGGTCTTGAATGAGTGATTTCAATGGAGACACTACCAGTGTGAGTCCTTTAGATATAGATCCTGGTAACTGGTAACATAGACTTTTTCCTCCTCCTGTAAAACACAACATTTGCAATGAAGACAATGGTAGAACACTTTACACTTCATGTACGTTATTAATATTAATCTATCAGTAGCGTATCTCAATAAATTACAGCATGCATTAATTTTGACCAGGATATTTGCCACATACACAATGGCAAATTATTAGTTTTGGTTTATGTGAACTTCTATTAGCGATGCACAACTGATTGACCAAATACAGTAATATAATATTTCTAAGATATCAATCATGTTTCAAAAGATACCGGTAGCGTATAATGTGAAAATTCCAACCCTGCAGTGCCCTGTCCATAGACTAAGTAGTTAGATCGAATAGACTTATAATGATAAGATTATTATGGAAGATGCTGCAAAGTACGCATTCCGACAGTATGTACTGGTAATTACATCCACCTTAATATACCTTGAATATGTTACTCTTGCTGTACTGTATGTATGTGTGTATACATTCCAATATTCTCATAACATATACCGATACATGTAATTATGCAAATAAACAAATGGTAATACTGTATACACTGTCATGTATATTATAACTATCTTCGGGGGCGGACATCCAGGCATTTTCACCGCCTGGCAACCCTCACGGTAAAAACAAAGGCCAAAAACTCGCAGAAAACGGTACTTGGGGATGGTTGTTGAGACTCCCCTGAACAGTGTAACAAGATTAGCCCTACGTGTGTAACATATATAAATTTGGTTGTTCAGGCATTACTTCAAAGTTGAGTTTGTGTTGTTTTCTCGAATTTTCACCGGCTCGACCGGTGTTCCACAGCAGCGCGCACAGAGCCCATAGAAATGCATGGTACAGTGGTGCGCGTCTTAGCAACGTGGAACGTCTGTGACATAGCTCCGCCCCCGAGGATTGTTACTGTAGCATAGATATATGCTCCACCTTATTTCATGTTGCGCTATAAGATAGTATGTTTTTTTTTTAATACAAATGTCTTAACACAAAATTTACAGTAAATGATGTATTCATATTTTAATTTTGTTGTTCCTTGGTTGATTAGCCAAAAACACATTTAACATATGTATGTCTACTGTTTGCTATAATTGCTTTTTTCTAACCGATGTGATGTTGATATTTTTAATCAATCATACTTCATATACTGTGAAATACTTTATTATAACTTTCGCTGAAAAGACTTTTTTTTTATGAACTTTATTTTCACTGAATTTTCACTTCAATGTAAAATAAAGAAAAAAAAAAGTTATATTTGCTGGACTTCATTTTCACTGAATCACCCCTTCAGTGAAAATATCAAAAATCAATTCTAAGCGAAAATAAAGTTTTTTTTATAGTAATCACTGATTAAAATTATTTTTTTTGTATTTCTTGTACTAAATATTTATATTCTTTGCTATTGGTAGTCCTCCATAAATGACCAGCACTGTGGAGAACAACTGAAATAAAATAAATGTATAAAATTATACTTAATGTACTGGATGGTACATACAGACAGAGATGTGTAAAAGTCTTACCTGTTGGCATTAGGATAAAGCAATCTTTTGAAAGCAAAGCAGCATTAATTGCTTCAAGTTGATTGGTACGGAATTTATGAAGGCCAAATATTTGGCGAAATACTTTAAGCATTTCCTTAGAATGTGGCAAATCCAATCTCCCAAACTGTGCAACTTCACTTGGACTTGCTCCCTCAATAACTATATTACTATTACTAGTGTTTTTATTTTTATGTTTGGGTGGATCAGATGAGAAGTATTTACTATGATTGTCCTGTGATGGATTATCTTGGCACTGAATTGATTAGACATGGATTGCTTGGGTTTTGTTTGCAGTGGTGTGGTGGCTTGAGGCATGTTATCAGAATTATTTAGTCCCATACTACTACTGTACGTCTGCTTATCAAGTCTCAAATGCTGATCACGCCCTGAATTCCAATCATTGTTCTGTGGCACCGTGTACGGAGATGCAAATGATTCGGATAAATCAGGTGATGCTACTGCTGCTGGGGTTGGTGACATTGGTTTAGTGGAAGCTGCCATGACAGGTGGAGTTCTAACACACTGTCTGATTGATGTACCAGTATAAGATGGTGACTGGATAGATTTAACTGAAGACATCTGAGGATATTCTCTCTCCAATCTCAAAGAAATCTGTTTATTCTTAGCTTTAATTCTTTTCCTGTAACAAGAACACAAGGCAATACACATCATATCAGTTATATAAACATTATAGTGTTCTGTAATTTGGCAGTTTTAATCGGGGTATTTGCAACTTTACTTTATTAGGAAAATATGAATTCCAAATAATGATTATGAGATATTTTCAAGATGGCCAGTGTGTGAAAAAATACATACCGGTAGTGAGAATGTTTGAATGGATTAATATTCACTATCTTGCTGGTTCTTGGATTACACAATATGGTTTATCATGAGGATAAATTTAATGTATGCACTTATACAGAACGGTGTCATTTCCACCTCAGCTCCATCAATTCTGTACTTTACTGTTTTTGTGCATACCTTGAAATATCTCATTATAATTTCACATAAAACTTCAAACCAATGATCCTCACATATTACTGTAAATATGTAAACAGAAGTCAATATTTTTCACTATACAGTAAAGTCCTAAGTACCATCCACATTAGATCCGTGGCTTGACATGATTATGGTGAGTTGATTTGAGCTCTAATTGTTACAAATAAGTGGATTGAGCCACAGAAACTGGCTCTATTCTGTAATTCTGGAACAGAAATGACACAAGGCACTAC